CTGGCCCAGGTTCCCCTCCACCTCTCCTCCTCCTCACCCTCACCATCCATCTGCTTGCAGCTACCAGGGTCTCTGCTTTCTCAACGTCATGGGCACTTTTAGGCCTCTAGGGCTTTGCATTGGCAGTGCCCAAGCATATCCTTCCTTCCATGTCTTCCTGGGAGGCGCCTGTTCCTTCAAGGGGCAGATAAGACCCTCACTATGAACTTCTTTTAATGCCTTCCTCCCGCTCCCTGCTCAAGGCTAAACTCTCTGCTCTCTCCACATGGGTCCTTCAAAAAATACAAATGATGAAGTTGAAGGTGAGGTAAGGATAACAACAGTGGCTGCCTCCCCTCCCCCTCCAGGGATCTGGCATTCCTCAAGGGCGGATTCAGCTCTTCCTTCTAGGGGACTTGGACACCCGGAGGGTGCCTGGCCAGTCAGCTTGCAGGTGCAGCCCTGCTCAGGCCAGATTGACAGGTCAGGGACAGGATAGGGAATGCAGGAAATCAGTGCGTGTGTGTGTGTGTGTGTGTGTATGTGCGCACGTGTGTGTGTGTGTTTTGGGGGGGTCATCAAACTACACTGAGAGGGGCTCATTCTCATCTGAGAAGGGGACATGCAGAAATGGCAACAGTGAGGTAGACTGGAGGGAAATACACCTGTCAACAGGGGCTGTCTTGGATGAGAAGATGGTGACATCAGGCAGCAACTGCCAGCATTACCAGTGGGTGTGATCCTTCAGGAGACATGCACTTCACATCAGCCAGCTGGCACACATGCGCACCTACACTCATGTACCCACACACTCATGCACATCAAGCACTCTTACAATACATACACACATGCACACACCCACACCTGCACATCATACACTCTCACAATACACACTGATGCACACTCACACATACACACTCCCATCACACGCTCACATACAGAAACTCATGCACACACACACATCATACTCTTACAATGCATACACATACTTCTTCACACACCCACATCACACACGCATACACACTTGCACTCATGCACACACCCACACTCACAATACACACACTCATACTCATGCACATACACAAATCACATATGCATACACACCCACACACACAAATCACATACACATACACAGTCGCGCTCATGCACACACCCACACATTCACATCGTACACTCTCACAACACACACACTCCTACTCACGCACACCCTCGCATGACACACGTACATACCCACACTCATGTACACACCCTCACATCTTACACTCTCACAGCACACACAATACTCATGCACACTCACACATCACTCTTACACACACATTCACACACACTCACACATGCTCACATTCACACTCATGCACACAGACATACTCACATATACCCACCACACACACACACACACACACACACACACACACACACACTGAAACCAAAGTTGCAGGAAACTGCAGTTACCCTAGGTGAAATGTACATTGGCATTTTTATTGTATTTGTTCTATGTCAGTTCTTCAGAATGCTTGACTTGATCTGATAAATTGATTTCAGGACCCGCGCTGGGTCCTGACTTACAGTTTGCAAAATCCTGCTCTGAGAAGGTTTGCACCTCCTGCTCTGTATTTAAAATTTAATACTGAGGATAGATTTCTGTACTATCTTCGTATTTTTCACTTAAAAGTAGAGAAGAGAGAGGGAGCACTGGGAAAACGCAAAACCACGAAATCCAAACAGACTTCCTGGAAGGCAGGTTGGCAGAGTGAGGCGAAACAGACATCTTTGAAGATGCGCACGCGTGGACCCCGCTGTTCCGCTGTCAGAAACGCACTAGCTGGGGTTCCGGGGTGCGGGCTGCGCACCCGACTTGGGTTACGATCATGGAACACCCCCTAGCACCGGGGGCGCCCAGCCGGGGAAGCCGTCCTGGTCACCCCTTCGAGACGCCATTCAAGACATCTTTGTGGACTTGGACAGAGGGGCGCGTGGAAAGAGGGGTGCTGTTTGCTCGCAGTCCCCGGCCGGCCACCAGGGCAGAATCCGGTTCTAGTTTTCAAAATATGTATTTACAAGTGGGCAGAGCGATGACTCCGAAAGTCCCCCAGCCACCTTGGCTTGCTTTGACTTTCTTCTCGGGCTTCGGTGTGTTCTCAGCAATGAGCACGCATTGCTTTTACAAGAATAGGGGAGGTGTGCGAGGAAAAGAGAGAAAGAAGAAAGGAAATAAAGACACAGGACAAGAAAGAGAAAGAAAGGGGAAGACGAAGGGGAGGAAGAGAGCGAGGGGTGGGC